TACCCTTAATTGTTCTACATCCTATATAATTTACTATTATATAATGAACTTTTGTCGGAATTTTATAAAAAATAGCTTAAAATGCTTGCTAACGTCTAAAGATTATAGCCATACTAATTTTCTAATTAGGACTCTTGATTCAGTATCTAGTGTGCCACCCTTTTGCTTATAGTACTGCATTAACCTAGTTATCTATTAACTTGATTAAAGAGTCGATTTTCTCCTGCGGCATAGCCTCTCACGCCTCTATAATTTTTCGAGCTAAATCATTATAGGCTGCTTGCGATTCTCTAAGGTCCTTAAGGTGTGGATATTGCTGATTGATCTACTGCTTTATTTAAGCCTAGACATGTTTAATTAGGTTTAAATCTAGAGAATAGGGTGCTTAATCAAGTACTAGTATACCTTGTTCTTTGAACTATTTAGTAACCTTTTTAGCTATATGAATTAGGGCATTATCTTACATAAATATTATATCTAATTGCTAGCATCTTTTAATAGTTTAATCAAGTATATTAATATAAGAGTTAGCTAAGTATTTATTACATTATATCTGCTTATTACGAGTTATAATAACTAGGTTAGAACGCCCTCTAATCTAAATAGTACCCTATATTATAATGCTTATATCATGGCCTTTTTTATACATTTAAACAAATTAAGGATCTTATTTCTGTATAGCTATATATTAGGCCTATTTATATTGACCTCTTTTACTTTATTTAACACTTAATTTATTAGAGAATATAATAAGTGCCTATTCTTTAATGCTCTAGTCTTTATAACTTAACACCTATTAATATTAAAGATTAATTACTTCTAGTATTAATTTAAGTCTTTTTTTGTATTACTATTTGCGCAGATTATATAAAAGAAGAATTTACTTAATAGTATTGTTAGAGAGCAAAATCTATAGATCTTTACACATTTGCGTGTATATAGACTTTAGATGAAAGCGTGTATAACGTACAATTGTTCTTTTGTCTCTTTTAGATGTAATAGAGGGCCTGCCCGCACGCGAAACTGATTCGTGATTGATTGGTTATATAGATAATTCATAGGTAGTTCAGACAATTGAGGGCGCGAAATTAAGGATCCGGCTAATATCTATATATTTTATACTATATTTGGCTGCACTGACTATTTTAGCTCTTTAAATAAGCGTTAAATCCGGGCCTTAAGGCTTATTAGTATTAATTTCGCTTAATGGCCTGTGTTAAGGCATAATTTATTGATAAAGTACGGGTGTTGTAATAGGGCAAACGCGAAAAAACATATAAAACGTGAAATGAGCGAGAACTTTTGACCGGGTACTATATATAGTAGCAGTACTCTGCTCCCTTATAAGAGTCTTTCTTTCTTGTCTTCTTTTATAGTAGTAAAACTCTGCTCCCTTATAATAGACTTCTTCCTAATATCTTTATTATTCCTCTTTAGACCTAGTAAAAGTGTTTAAGAAGGTTATTTATTAATAAAGAGCGCTAAACTAAAGAATAAACTAAACTATATTAAAGATAAAGTAAGTAGTAAGTAAGGAAAGTTATATTCTTTTATATAAAATAAGATTATAAAGAATAAATTAATGTCTTAAAGATTAATTATTATATAAGAAGTTAATTTAATATATTTATATATAAAAATAAGAATTAAGGATAACTTATAAAGTTATTTAATTTAATTAATATTAAAAAGTAATTCTTAATATAAGTTATTTATGATTATTAATTAAGAGTAATATATTATTTATATATTATTTAAATATTAATTATTAAAAGATAAAAAAGTATTAATCTAGTAAAAAGAATTCTTAATTAATAGTAGGTTTAAGCTAGTTTAATTTAATTAAGTTAAAAGACAACTTTTTAAGAGAGTTAAAGTTAATTAAATTTGATTAATTAGGGCGGATAGGTTAATTTCTTGCTATAGTCTGTCTGTAGAATACATACTTATTTATATCTATGCTGACTACATTACGCCTATTACTTATGTGTAATACCTTACTAGGCTTCTACCCTATCTGGTTTGGGACCTTTGATACATCTAGCTAATAATGTATGTATACTATATAGATATCTACTACAGAGAAGGTTTATATTTTGTATAATACTTATGTTATCACGCCCTAGAAGTCACGGGCCTATTATATCTAGAATCTCTTTATATACTACTCTATAACTAGGCTTATAACCTGTTAGAAATAAATAAAGCAGAAGCAGTATATTACTATAGTGTGGCCAGAGAGATTATAGATTTTATCTAGAATAAAGGCAGATACTTATGTATCTGCACTAGTATTAATTAGCTAAAATTAAAATATAATAATATAATAAACTTTAATCCTAATATAAGTGAGCTATTAATAAAGCTAAGTAGATTAACTTTAGAACAGGAATCAAATATACTTATAACAACCTTAGGGGTCTATAGAAACTCGCTAAATAGGCAAGAGCTAATAGTTATCACTTACATGATTCCCTTAAGTTCACACCGCTGGCAACCTAAGGCGTTATAGCACACATCTTTAACAACTAGATTAAGGTGCTTAAAGCCGCCTTCTTCCCGCTATTACTAGAGGCACTACTTGATGATATTAAAGACGCGGTATACCCGCAGGCACATTACTACCCTATAGCCATCACTCAAGAGGAGGTACAGAACACTATTTAGCACACAAGGGCAGACAGAGCCCCGGGCCCTGATGGGATCCCTAACAGGATTCTTCAGGCCTGTGTTAACCAGCTCACACCCGCACTTACCCACTTATTCTCTGCTTACACGTTGCTAGAATACTACCCTTATGCTTTTCAGGAGGCCTATACACTAGCTCTAAGAAAACCTAATAAACTAGACTACTTATCTCCTAAGGCCTATAGACTAATAGTCTTACTTAACACAATAGACAAGACACTAGAGTCTATTATAGCGTAATGAATCACCTTCTTAGCTAAGTGATATAATGTTCTCTTAAAGACGTAGATAAGAGTAAGGAGTAACTACTTAACTAAGGCAGTATTAGAGCTTCTTACTAAACAGATATATATAGTCTAGAACTAAGAGAGAGACAAGGTAGCTTTTTTGCTAAGTATAAATATAATAAGCGTCTTTAATATAGTGTTATATTAATAATTAATCTATAATTTAAGAAAGCATAAGATCTCTTTTATAATTACTAAATAAGTAATAAGCTTCTTATTAAATAAGGCTTCTATACTCTTTATAAATAATAAGATATTTAAAAGATTTAAGGTCTGTATAAAGATCCTTTAAGACTCTTTAGTCTTGCCTATTCTGTACCTCTTTTATAATACAGATTTATTAAATATTACTAATTATTAAAGGACTAAGATAAGCGCTTTTAGCTTTATTAATAACATTAATATATTTATATTTAGTTAAAGTATAAAAAAGAATTATAGATGACTAAAGCAGTTATATAATAAGTGCTTATACTAGGCCTGTTATTATAGTGCTATCTTTATATTATAAAAGTATAAGCTAATTCATCTTATAAGAAACCTAAGGAAGTTTAATATAAAAGAAATAATTAATGTGGCTAGTACTTTAATAATAATGAAAACAAATATTAAAGTATTAGGACTTTAGATTAATACTTAACTAAAATAAAGCCCTTATATTAAAAAGGTACTCTAAAAGATAACTTAATAGATGCTTACGCTTATAGCTTTATTAACTTTTATATAAGGCGCTTCCCTCTTATATATAAGATGTATTTATAATATTGTTATTAAACTAGTAATAACTTATATATTAGCTATTTAGCATCTTCCTAATAAGTTATAAAGCACAAAATTAAATACTGCTAAACTCTTATCTATTTAGAATAGATGCTTATATATAATAGTTAGAGCTTACAAGGCTACATCTATCCTAGTCCTTAAAGCAGAGACTTACTCCCTGCCTCTTTTATTATTACTTAATAATATTTAAATAGACTCTTATTACAGACTTATAGTTATAAGTATAAGATAACTTATTTATAAAAGCTATCTCTAAATTATTAAGAAGCTTGACTTATAGCAGGGACGTCCTTATTACATTATTGTAATATTAGGTACTAGAAAGCATAGCTAGTACAAATAACGTCTTCTTAAGCTTAATATAAAGATAAAGCTAAACTAAGCCTTAGAACATTTCTTGCTATAGGAAAAACTCTTATAAAAAGCGATTATACTACTTATAAAAGCGTAATAATAATACTAGTCTTATTACTAAATAGTTAGAGCGTTTTAATTAAAGAACTAGTAATTATTATAGAGCGCCTATTTAGCAATACTTTAGTAAGCCTTAAGCCCTGTTTAAAATAAGGAAATTAGTAAGCAGAGATTAAGAATATATTAAGGCTTAGCTAAGGCATAAAGCTCTCTTATTATATAGCTAAGGACTAACAAAATAAGCTTTGCAGACTTCCTCTTTAAACAGAATATTTTAGACATCCCCTTATTATCCTCTAGGTGCGGTTAGAGAAGACAGACTGCCTAATACATGGTTATAGACTGCCTGCTGCTCTTAGATAAACACAAGATGCTTGCTGCTACTAGCATAATAGATTACTGCCATCTCCTTAATAATCTAAAGGCCCTCAAGATAGTAACGCTTTAGCTAATAAAGGCTAGGGCCCTCTCTTAGTTCTTATTTGTGGCTAAACAACTTTGTACCTAACTATATTGTAGCTATAAAGCCTTGTGCACACTATTAAAGCGCTCTAAAGAACTTGTTTACTTACTAGTAATAAGGTTTTTTCCTTAGAAAGGTTTCCTTACGTTTATTCTTGTTTATTATTAAGAGTTATAACTGCTCTTAATTATATATATCTCTTGTATAGACTAGCCCTAAGCTAGGACTACATTAGTATAAGAATCAAATAAATAAATAAATAAATCCTAATATAATAGAATTCTTTTTAGAGTTAGAGTTATTTATATAAGCTTAGAAATATTAATTTAAAATATTATAAAAACAAGTTGAAAATCAGGTAATGGTCAGAGAATTTCATTGATTTGACGGCCTTTGAAGTGTTCTTCAGCTTCTTCTAGGGGTATTAGAAGCTTATCTAGCTGGGTATCGGCTGTGGAATCATCAGGGATAGATGGATCTAATAGAAATTAGTATAAATAATAAAAGAAATAAGAAAAAACAGCTAAAAATAAGTAAAAAGAGCTATTTTTACTTACTTGTATGATCATTTGGCTGTTTTTCTGCCCATTTCTTTGGAATAGACTTTGCTTTTGGCCCTCTTTTTGTAGGATTTAGATGTAGAGAGTCTGCAAGATAGAGAGGGCCACGTTTTTGATGAATTCCAGAGCGAAATAGGATCTCAATAGTGATATTGGGATCAATTGGCCCCATTTTGGAGGCGGAGTCAACCGGAGAGGATCCCTCATAGCTATCAGAGCTATAGCTATCTAGGGAAGAAATTTCGTCTTGATCCGTTAAGAATTGGGCGGGGTGACAAGCTTTTCGTATATGTTTTGACTGCAAAATGCGTGATTTTGAGGGGTTTTCAACGCTAATTGACTTATTTCTGGCGCTTTCAACGGATAACTTGCTGATAGTGCGCTTATGCAAAGCAACTGAGGGGCTAGCACTCGATTCTGGCACTGATTAAGCTGAGATTCGTAGAGAAATCGATATTTTGATGGTTTTTGAGATTCGTTGAGTAGATGAAGCTGATTTGAGACAGT